TTCCCTCCTTCTCTCCCTCATTTCTTTCCTTTTTTTTAACCTAAGTCATCTTAGGTTAAAAGGAAAGAAAGAAATTCTGCCCCTAGCGGTAGGAACGGATTAACCGGCTTTGCCTTAGTTCCTATGGGAAATGCCCCTCAACCTAAGAACCAAAAACAGCCGGAACAGATTAATTGGTTTTCAGTGCATTCCTATGGGAAATGCTGATTCGACTTACAAACTTTTCGACTTACAAACTGCCTTCCAATACGGATTAAGTTTGTAAGTCGAGACCCCACTGTAAAATAAATAAATAAATAAATAAACATCTACTACAGTCAGGGAAGTCTCCAGGCTGTCAGGTGGAGGGATTCAAGATCTGGATGAAAAATCCATCCTTTGTCTCGAGATAGTAGGTGAGGAACCATCTTCAGCCTGACGTATTCTGAGGCTCTGGAGAGTAGAATCGAGAACCATGGCTGACGAGGCCACCAAGGGACTATAAGGATCACATCCGCATTTTCATGTCAGATCCTTATGATGGTCCTTTGGAGAATGGGAATGGGTGGGAACATGTAAAGGAGGCCAGATGACCATCACACAAGAAATGCATCCCCTAGGGACTGGTGGCTGACGCTGGCTTGTGAGTAATACCTAGTACATTTCTTGTTGTCTTGGGATGCAAAAACATCTATTTCACTATAAGGATCACATCCGCATTTTCATGTCAGATCCTTATGATGGTCCTTTGGAGAATGGGAATGGGTGGGAACATGTAAAGGAGGCCAGATGACCATCACACAAGAAATGCATCCCCTAGGGACTGGTGGCTGACGCTGGCTTGTGAGTAATACCTAGTACATTTCTTGTTGTCTTGGGATGCAAAAACATCTATTTCTGGAGTTCCCCATTGACGGCAGAGGTGGCGAAAGGTTGCATTGTCTAGAACCCATTCGTGGAGCAGGATTGTAGCCTGCTTAGATGGGCTGCAAAGGTATTCCCCTTGCCTGCTACATGCACAGCCACAGAGTATATGTGCCAGATAAAGCACCATTCGCAAAGGCTGATGGTATGAAACAGAAGGTGCAATGAGTGAGTGCCGCCCTGTTTGTTTATACAGTATAATAAACTATTATGGTTTTGTCTGACACTACTTGGATTACACGACCATGGAGCAGGGGCTCGAAGGCTCGAAATGTTTTGACAATCGCCAGGAGCTCCAGTTTGTTGATATGAAGGCCAGCCTCCACCGAGGACCAGCGGCTGTGAACTGTGTGGCAGCTGAGATGAGTGTCCCAGCCTGTCAGGCTGGCATTCACAGTGACTTGGATCATGGGAGTGAAGAGGCCAAAAACCCTTCCTACCAGCAAATTGGAAGGGAGTCTCCACCAATCAAGCTGTGCAGCAAACTCTGACGTAACCTGCAGCAGTGTGGATGGATGGCCGTGAGTCATCAAGAACAGTGACAGGAACCAGGCCTGAAGAGACCACATCTTCAGCCGTGCATGTTGCACCACAGCCATGGTGGATACCATCAACCCCAAGAGTCGCTGGACATAGCTCACACGGCTCACCTCTGGGTCTGGTGCCAGCCAAGAACGCTTGACTCCTCCAACAGTAGCAGAGGCCAGTGGCAGGTGCCTTTTGCAAGGTTGAGAAGGAGGCAGAGGAATATAGCCCTCTTTAGCCTCAGGTGCAATGTCACGCCATCTGCGGTACTGAGCTGGAGCCCGCAAAAAGGGCTGAGCATAGGGTTCAAAGTATCCATACTGAGGGTACAGGTCATATCGACAGGGTCCTGGATGAAAAGGCAGGTCCCATTCAAAGTCCTCCATTTGGCCGCCATTTTCACTGCCTTTTGGGCTGCAACCTCAGGCGAAGCGGCCAGAGACAGTTGCAGAGCTTTGGGGGAATCCATAGAGGCAGTTTGATATGGTGAAAGGGATTTCTCCCAAAGAAATGATTTAGGCATTGGAGCCACAATTTCAGAGCCAGCTTCGTAAAGGTTTTGCAAAAGGTGCACACGGCCAGCTGATGACCCATAGGCCAGTAGGTAGTCAAGGTAATGCCATCGGCCTCGACAAGCAGAGTACCCCGTCGGCTCCAAATGCTGGCTATATAGGTCTGGTTGCTCAGGCAGCTCCAGGTGTTGGGATTTATGGGTTCTCTTGCGAGGAACCTCAGTAGGAGCCGGCGGTGGTGGCGAGGCCACCGGTTGCTGCATCAATGAACCCAACTAAGAATGTGGGCTGGCCTGTGCCAATTCAACAAACTCTAGAGAGGTGTCACCCCAATCAGGAATATCACTGACAGAAGGGGATAGCGGTAGCAGCTGTAGGGGTACATCCTGTTCCTCAGAGGGTACACTCAGGATCACCGAATATTGCCGGGATATCTACGGCCTCAGTGCTGAGATTTTAGCAGCTTTAGCAGTCTTAGGGGTTTTCTTCTTCAAACTCAATGTTGAAGATTGCATTTTTTTGAGCAGACCTCGTATCTCTTGAAGAAGCCCGGTGAGGCCATAAACTAAAAGTAAGCAAAACGAAAATTAATCCGTTTTTTTCTTTTCACAGTTGCGAAACAAAGGTCAGCGGTCCGGAATCAAGCCAGGGAGGTCCAAAGAAGAGAGGGAAAGGTAAGATAGATAGATTGAATGAGCGCACAAAGTTCCAAACGAAGCTGCAACAGTGGCGGTCGAAAAGGAACTGAGGCATTCGGTGCCGGGGCGGAGTTATAGCCAGCATAGGGGAGGTCCCAGCACCATGTGCTTGATCTAAAAAGTTCTGGGGCTGCTCTATGCAAGTGCGGATTAACCCATTAGTGTGCATTCACAGAGACCATGAAGACGAATAGATACAGTAGTTACCATAACTTCCCTTACCGGGTCATTATACAGTGGTGCCCTGCTTAACGAGCAATTTGTTTAATGATGAATTCACACAGCTATTGAGTTTTTGCGATCACAAAAGCGATCGCATAATGATGTTTTAAATCGGAAAACATCACTTTGCGATGATTGGTAAGCTGTTTCGCTTACTGATTATCGCATAACGATGTTTTTCCAACAGCTGATTGGCGGTTCCAAAATGGCCGCTGGGTAAAGAAAATGGCCACCCGCTGTGTTTTCGCGCCCTTTCCTTGCTTTACCGAGCAGCGAAAATGGCAGCCTCATGGAGGACATCTGCATAAGGGTGAGTTTTGTGCCCATAGGAATGCATTAAATGTGTTTTAATGTGTTCCTATGGGCTTTTTTGCCCCGCATAGCGACAAATCCACATAGCGACGATTTTTTCGGAACGGATTATCGTCGCTATGCAGGGCACCACTGTACTTCTGTTGATGCAACTTAGCATTGTATTAGCTTTCCCCCCCTTTAGACTCTTGTTCAGTTTGTAGTCTATTAGGACTGCTATATACTGTATTTGTGTATGCACTTTTGTTAGTTGTATGAATTATTATATTTCTGCATCTCATTCTTCCCAGCTAAGTGCACAGCTTCACATTTATCCCTATAGAAATACATTTTGTTGCTTTGGTCCAGCGTTGTCATTCAGCCATTCTCATCAGAGGGCACATACCCACTTGGGATACCAGGCACATTCAGAGGGATCCAAAGACTGGAAACAATTCTTCACACACCGCCTTATAAGATTCATTATAAGAGTTATGTAATCCTGCTTTGGTCTATATACTTTTCGTACTGTGTTTATGGCCATGGCCAAAAAGAGATTGAGAATGGCTGCTCTAGTGTATCATGGACATCTTCAAACCTGCAATATTAGGTATCCCTCTCAGTTTAATGTTATCTTAAAATCTGATGAGCTTCTACTCCTTAATCCCATTCATTTATACAGATGTTATAACTCTGGCTATGGAATATTCCCCACCCCTCTTTTATTTCTAGATCCAGAACCCCATGTGCCATATGCCTTGAACTCATCAGGAGAATGGAAGAATGTAAATATATACCTCCTCTCACAGAAAGCTAGGCTGGCCACATCTTTGATGTCTTTCCATAAGCAGGTGAAGAACTTTCTCTTCAGGCAAGCTTTCCTTGAGTGACTGGCTCCATGAGTGGGTTTTTTAAAATGAATTATTATGCCTTACTGCTTTGAATGTGTTTTGGCATTGCTTATGTTTTTTAGTGTCGATTTGATCCTTTTTAGTATTTGTATCCTCCTCGTTGTTGGCTTTAATATTGTCTTTTAATGATGTGAGCAGCCTTGGGTTGCTTTAAGGAGAAAGGCAGAGTGAAAATATTTTAAGTAAAGAATAATAATAAAGAATAATGAATGTGTACTGCTCAGGAGCAAATTAGTAGTACCCAGTATCATCTCTGTGCTTTGAAGTAGGTATTTACCAGATGCTCAGATCCATGTAAAACAGGTGTTTGCACAATGAAGAAATTTACTGCTCTGCTAAAGAAAATGAATGGAAGGTGCTAATTAACCACCCCAAAAGAGCTCTACAGAGCTCCATTGTTAAGAGATTGTACAATTAAATTGTAGTCTTCAGATGAAAGAGGACAAACTGTTCAGCAGCAAACCATGTGCTAGAAACATCAGGAGCGAGAGAGCTTCTGCCAAGCTACATATTCTACCTGTAAAGGTGATCCACAGATAAATAATATGAATACATTGGTTGCCAACATGGCAAAGAAGCTTATGTCCTTTGATGCATGAGAAAAATCAATGCATTTTAACAACCACACATGAAAGTCAAATGGAAGCTAAGCTTGCTACACTCTTTCGCAGTACTGTACCTTTACCTTTCTCAGAGTAGTATGTCCAATGCTTGTAATGCCATATCTGAAAAGAACCTCTGCTCGAACCCTTTCTGCACATTCACCCTATTAATGTAATATACTTTCCCTGGTTGCAACGCACACACAAAACCTAAATCGGTTGTGTCCAAATTTCTGTTTATTTGTTCATGTAATCAACTGAATACTTTGATGCACACAACAAGGTCCCACCAGAGTAATGTAGTCCTTGCAGTAAAAATACCTCCTCACCCCTCTGAGTGAATACCTGTCTACTAGATCAGGAATGGGTAAAGTGTGCCCTTCCAGATGTTGTGGGACTGAAATTTCCATCAGCCCTAGCCAGCATAGCCAATGGTAAGGAATTGTGGGAGTTGAAGTCCAATATATGAAGGGTCTCTGTGCTGTATCTTGTTGCAAACCCCTACATTAGCTCTTTTAGTAATGATTTGTACACTGTTCTATATAGAAGGCACAGTCAGCTTGTGATGGATCCGCAATTGTTTTGTACCAGGCATAAAAATGCCCATGCCAAGTCAAGCTCAGGAGCACCTAGGTTTCCTCTTTCTAGAAACCAGCTGTGCAGATTGCTGGGGCTTGTGGTAGTAATAGCAGCAGTTTCCCTTTTCATCTGGCCATTTAGTGAACTGGTTGGCTAGACCCACAATAGACTGGAAAGGGCCAAAGAAATGTCACAGAAGAGAAAGAAAAGTGGTCAGAAGCAGCAGTCAAACCAATTCCAGCAGTGTTCCTGAGATACGATTCAAGCAGATCTTCATGGCTGAGCAATCATACGTTGCAGCTCCCAGTGATCGGACACAGAACAAAGCAAGTGAATTTGCAAATCGCATTTGACGGCCAGGGTGATGTCCCCACTTCCTTTAGCAGAAATTTGACTGCCCATCAACACTCATTTAAATGGAACACACGTGTTCATCACCTCAGCATTTATGTTGTTTCTTTGGCAATAATTTTTGACAACTAAACTATTAGTTTGTTCCACAAAATTATACTTATGACAGAAGCAGTTACACCCCTACAAATATGAAAAGAATGATCTTTTCTACTTTTAAAAAATGTGTGCTTAATAATAGTTCATCAGATCCACATTTAGATAGAAAATTGCATAGCTGTTCAGAATCTGACAGGCCTCAGCAAAAGATGCTGGGTGTTTTCCACTTGGTTGAAATTCAGTCTCCTATTTCGTTGTTTAAAAATATATATCCCTGAAATTATTTGAGAAAACGGGTTGATAATAAGAAATGATCCAGTGCCTCGGTGCAATAGTTACTGCAGTGTTCTTCCAGACTGGCCCCAACTGTACCTACCTACCTATCCACCTATCTACCTACCTACCTACCACCCCAAGCTTCCATATATCTTCAAATTGCAAGATTCACCAAGACCCACATCCATGGATATTCCAATGAGAATGAGGCAGAAATTGCCCCGTTTTGTAGTCTTTGGGAGGATGGAGCCAGAATATTTACCAACACACAAACACACACACACACACACACACACACACAGAGAGAGAGAGAGAGAGAGAGAGAGTTTAAGTGACAGGAAAGCAGAGAGACACACACATCTTGGATACCACTGCTGCTTGTCTCTCCTGCTTTCTTTTATCTCCCTCACAGCTTTGTCATTTAATAATTTATTACCTGTAGTATGATCCCAACCCCCAATAACTGAAAAAAAAAATCAAAATAATTGCATGTTTCTAACTGCCACTGACATCAGAAATATCAGTAAAGTATCATAGAGCTAAATCTCACTCATCAGGGAGATTAAAGAAAGGAAACAAATCCTGCCTTGCTGGAAGAACATTTTGCTGTGGTGGCTATCTCGCTACCTGGTAGTGCTCAGGAAATTATTGTTTTTTTATCTGAGGGTTTAAAAAAATCCTGGAATTTCAGAGACCGAGTAATTATGTTTAAGGAACAAGAGCCCAGTTTTGAGAAGCCTTCTGTTCACCCTCAAGATGAAGACATGCAAAATAAGCTAGAACAAGGGGTGGGGAGTGTGTGACCCTCCATATATTGCTATACAGCAAGACTACCACAACAAGCCAGCATAATGCCTGGTAAAGTATCACAGTTGAAATCCATCTCTGATTTATCTGGGGTGGGGTGGGGACAACAACATCATTTGGCTTGGGTCTTACCTCAGAAGAGAGCTTCTCTTCAACAAAGGGTGCATAACTGTGTGGCCTTATATATATATATGCACTAATATATACAAACTAGTTATGCCAGACTGCCCTAAAGAGAAGGTTAAATCAAATTATACTGTCATGCAGCCTGTGAATACTTTTTTACACACCATTCTTTACATTAAAATAATTTTACCGCCTTCCTGAACAATGAGGGGGCCTCAGAATGCAAAAATCCCAGACCTCCTCTGAGCTTTCAGTGGGTCTGAAACTTAGAATATTACTTCTTACTTTACTAAACTCCACACTAGTGTGGCCAATGGCCATGCTGGCTGCTAGACTCTGGAAAATGTAATAATAGTAATAGTAATAGTAATAGTAATAGTAATAGTAATAGTAACAGTAACAGTACTACTACTACTACTACTACTACTACTACTACTAAAACAACAACAACAATAATAATAATAATAATAATAATAATAATAATAATAATAATAATAATAATAATAATAATAATAATAATAATAATAATAATAATAATAATAAAGTCTAACCGTTGAGCGCATTTAGAGCACAGGCAGGGATGAATGGGCTAGAACTTGGAGAATCAGCTTTTTGAATGACACATCTCAGAAGCCCGCAGTCAGTGTAGATGGCAGGAATGCTGGTTATTGGATTCTGGGAGTTGACTTTCAAAAAATTAACTTTTCCAGCCTCTGTATATGTGTACTCATTTCTACAGCCACATCACATACAGGTATAACATGGTATACAATTCAACATTTACCCTCCCGACAGACATTTTGCTTTTATTTCACTATGTTTTCTTAAATTGGTATTTCATCAAACAAGACAGAGGACATATTAAAGAACTGAAATAATGAGATAATTAGAAAATAAAGATGCTAGTAATGTTCTGAGCAGCATATCACTTTTTTCTGAAACCCTCCTCCCCCATCCTCAACTAAATGCTGAAGCCTGTCACAGATCATTACAAGACATGGTAGTTGAGCTGTTTTGGAGATGAGCCCAGCTGGCCCTTCACTGGAATTTATTTACAGGATTGTCTTTTGCCTTTCCAAACTTGGCAGCTAATTCTAAATCTAGTCTTCAATGCCTGACCCATTCAAAATTGCTTTTACCTCCTATTTAGTGTTTCATTCTCTATGACCAGGTGTTTGAGATAAGAATTCAGCATACCACAAAACCATGTTGGAAGTGCACAGGAAAAACAAAATTGATAGATGAGATGAAGGAGGCAGGGCTTAGTGTACAGTAGGTGTGGGGAACCCATCTCTCTTCAAATGGTTGAGTCTGAAAGTTCCCACCAACTCTAGGCATCAGCTCCCTTGGTGGGAGTTGTGATCCAACAACATCTGGAGGGCCTTGTGTTCACCGTTGTTGTCTTAGCCAGGAGTGTAGTGTAGGGATCAATAAAAGCAATAGGATAAGTTGAAAGAGACAATTGGGGGTGGGGGAAGGCAGAACGTGAGGACAGAAACATTGGGAAAGTGAAAAGCTGAAAAGCATTTAACTTTCCTTTTTTTTGCTTTTTTCAGCCTTTTTTTGGCAATCTGTGTGGCCCCTGAAGAATCCTAAGGGCCCAAAACCTGCCACCTGGGCCTGCCAAAACTCACCTCTGGCGTAGATGGTCAACAGTTTCCTATGCTGCCCTTTGCCACTACTGACCATGCGCAGCATGTGAGGAACTGCCTTTTCCATGTGTCTTTTTCTGACCTTTGAGATAAGGAAATGAAAACATCCATCTGTTTTTCAAGCTGGTGACCACCACTAGTTCTTTTCTGTTCTTCTCCCATCCAGGCTTTGGAATCAGTTGCTGTGTTTTGTGCCCAAGATCTGGGGACTGACTTTGCAAAAACGTGTTGCCAGGACTTTTCATTTTAGGCAGGCTTTTTTACGGCGAGACATTGCTTTATTTCTGGCTCCTTGTTTGTAATCTGGCCCTGTTATAACATTTTATTCTGCTTGATTGCAACTTTTACAGCTATGTATTTTCACTTTAACTGTAACCCATTTCAAGAAGAATTACAGGAAAGTGGATTGTGAATTGCCTAATAAATAAATAAATATATATTCTGTGAAACAAGATATTTGTGCATCAACAAGACCAGCTGTTCCATGTGCAGGGCAGTGCAGATGATGCTTGTGTTGATGTTTTGGAGACTTATATTGGATAATATAAGTGGTGGAGTGGAGGCTATGCAACCTCCTGGGTGCGACTGTGGCCTCAGCCACCACTTGCCTTGGGGTTAGCAGTGCATCACTGACTTTAGCCATGTCGTAATGCAGCACTGAACAAAAATCTCACTTCTGCACTAAAATAAGCCAAGTGGGGGAAGATGCATCTTGTTTTCAAGGATAATCAGGTGCCCAAAAGGAGGTGCAAAGCATTTTGTTATTATCTGCTGTCAAGTCAGAGCTGACTTATAGCAACCCTACCAGGGCTTTCAAGGTAAGTGAGATGTTTAAAGGGTGGCTTTATCAGTTCCATGGCTGAGCAGAGATTTGAACCCAGGCCTCCTGAGTCCTGCTCTGTCACTCTAAGGTAAGTGATTAAAGGGTGGCTTTATCAGTTCCATGGCTGAGCAGAGATTTGAACCCAGGTCTCCTGAGTCCTGCTCTGTCACTCTATCCTCAAGACTACACTGGATATCTCCTGCAAAGCACATTTCTCTCGAAAACAAGGTATGTGTTCCATGCATTCCTTGTTTTAACACAAGAATGTATTTGGTGGAAAGCAGAAGTGGAACTTTCTCGCTTTCAGTTGCCATTATGCAGCTAAGTTAGGAGAGTGTGCTTGTTGTAAAGTGACCGGGAAAGAAATAAAGAGATGCATGGAGCCACAGACGTTGTCCACTTCTAGCCGATGGCATCTCTGTCTGGTGTATCGCAACTCACTTTTCTATTCTCAGCCTCAGGTTTTCAAGCACTTTTCTATGGCATCTCTGTCTGGTGTATCGCAAGACACCGCAACTCACTTTTCTCTTCTCAGCCTCAGGTTTTCAAGCACTTTTCTCTCCACCTTGCTTTTGTGGGAGGCTGTGCATTCTCCCCTTTTAAGCACTTAAGCAACACATGGTTAACAACTTTAAGCGGCCATTTCCTTCTCTTCCCTGGAGCTTCATTCAGTTAACCCCAATTAAGGCATTGAAAAGGAACTTTCTTCTTCAAATGGAAGAGAGCATCCAAAACCATCCTGAGAGAAAGATCCTGCATGCCTTTGGAATGTTATATCAGTCTCTCTCCATGGTGCAACGAACTATAATGCAGTTGGTAAGGGTGGCTCTTGGCAAAGCTATATTTCCCACTCATTTTAATGCAGCTAATGTTGTGGCTGTAAGGATCAGCCTGTAAAGACTAGCTTCAGTGCAAGAACATCTGGTTTCGCAGCTTGTGGCTGGTACTGTCAGTGGATCATCTGCTATTTTACAAGTATATTTGAGAGTCAACTCTGGGGATGTTTTGGAAGATGGACAGAAATTATCTCCCAGTTCAGGTTCCAACAACAGGTTGGCAGAGCCTTCAGGAAATACCCATCTGTTAACAGATGCCAACTTTGCTGCTTTCTAAGCACAGCTTACAAACTGAAGAAAGCAGGAAAAACCACTAGGGCTAGTCAGGTATAATCTAAACCAAACCCCTTATGAATACACGGTGGAAGTGAAGAACAGATTTAAGGAACTAGATTTGGTGGACAGAGTGCCTGAAGAACTATGGATGGAGGCTCGTAACATTGTACAGGAGGCAGCAACACAAACCATTCCCCCAAAAAAGGAAATGCAAGAAACCAAAGTGACTGTCCAATGAGGCTTTACACACAGCAGAGAAGAGAAGGGAAACAAAATGCAAGGGAGATAGGGAAAGGTACAGAAAATTGAATGCAGACTTCCAAAGAATAGCAAGGAGATACAAGAGTGCCTTCTTAAATGAACAGTGCAAAGATATACAGGAAAATAATAGAAAGGGAAAAACCAGAGATCTGCTCAAGAAAATTTGAGATGTTAAGGAACATTTTGTGCAAAGATAGACATGATGAAGGACAAAAATGGTAGGGACCTCACAGAAGCAGAAGACATCAAGAAGAGGTGGCAAGAATACACAAAGGAATTATACCCGAAAGATCTGGATGTCCTGGACAACCTCGATAGTGTGGTTGCTGACCTTGAGCCAGACATCCTGGAGAGTGAGGCCAAGTGGGCCTTAGAAAGCATGGCTAACAACAAGGCCAGTGGAGGTGATGGCATCCCAGTGGAACTATTTAAAATCTTAAAAGATGATGCTGTTAAGGTGCTACACTCAATTTGCCAGCAAGTTTGGAAAACTCAGCAGTGGCCAGAGGACTGGAAAAGATCAGTCTACATCCCAACCCCAAAGAAGGGCAGTGCCAAAGAATGCTCCAACTACCGTACAATTGCACTCATTTCACATGCTAGCAAGGTTATGCTCAAAATCCT